ATTTTTCTTTAAGTTGAGAGAAGGGCAAAGAGGAAGAAATACTTTAAGATCAAGTCACTGCCTTTTCAAATTAAGGAAGTGCCACACCTCAGCCTTATTTCAAACCTAATCAAGAAAGAAGGCAGGTAAGACTCATAGGCAGGCAAGAGGGGTACAACACCCTCAAGGAAAGGAGAAATAACCCAGACGGAGGCAGGCAGAGAAACGGGGACTTACACGAGTTCTGGAGATGAGGTGAGGACACGATCTAGCTGGTAGAGAGCTGGAGTGAATGGTCACAATCAGACACGGGAGGGGAATGGCACTACGTTGAAATCGAACACCTACCCTATCAGTTCAACACTACCAGGGAAGAATTTCCAACTCCAAATTCATTTCTGCAACCCCCTTTTATATCTGAACCCCCTACACCAGAAGGAGAACCACAGGAAGGGAAGGAGCAGGCAGAGAGCAAAGACTGCTAGGCATGTCCACGGATAAACCTACGATGACAAAATGCTGTGGCTCATTGCTTCAGGACTAAGGTCATTGTGAACTAAACTCAAATTCTTCTTATCCCACAAGCAGCGCCAACTGCCTCGGCAGCGGCGTACCAGCCTCTGTGATGCAGAGGCGTGACCTGTGTGCGCGGAGGGCGGGTTTGCCTTCTTGTGCTCGGGTCACAGAACACGGAGGGAGCAGATGGAGCCCAGTTCACAACGCGGTCAGGTCCAGCCAGGCTCCAGCTCTAGCATCACCCAGCCAAGCCCGCCGGCCACCTGCAGAGGCAGAAGTGAGGATGTTAGCTTGACAAGACCTGAAGCAGCAACAGCAGCAGAAACATGAGCAGCTGTCATTCTGAGACTCCAACGGGAGGACAGAGTCTGGTAAACGCTCGGCCTTCTTTGCACTACGCCCAGAGCCTAGTGCAGTTCTTGGGACATGGCAGGTGTTCAATAAACATCTGGTGTGGTTACCTGTGTTTCTTCTCAAACTCGTGACCTGGGATAATAAAACTGAAAGGAACTTACCTCGTTCAGTTGCCAAGCATATGGTCCAGTTTCAAAATGGCCAATTTCAACAAGGACTAGAAAGTGTTATCAGAGGTCATCAGGTGACCGAGCACCAAAGGTGGGAACGACTGCCTGGATGTGACTCTGGACCTCATGAATTACTGGCCAAACCGGCTCAGGCAGAAGTCAGCTCACCTTTCTGCCTCATTCCTCCTGTGTTAAATGGTGCTATGAATAGGCGCCACCTCATAGGACAGTTGTGCAGATTAAGAGATGGATTTCAAGTACTTACAACCTTGCCTGGTACATGACAAACACTGTATATGCACTTTCTGTTACTATTATCAGCATTAAGACGATTTGGCCAAGTTATTCAAGTCTTCTTGGCCTGCTCCTCCCATCACTTATTTATATCTACTTGCTCTCACTTCCATCTAATCTCTGCACATAATATATACTTCTGTAGGCTTACACGCTAAGTGCTGATATCCGTTCCACCCACCTCCCTCCACCAAGCGTTTTAAGAGCGGCAGATTCTGTTCTCAGTCAGGCTCTCCTTTGCCCCTTCTCCACCTGCTCAAATCAGATTTGTTCCTCAGTGTTCTGCCCAAATACCACCTCTTCCAAGAAGTCTTCTGATCACCCTTCCCAGAGGGATCCTGTTGTAGTCTTCACTTGCTTCAGTTAGCAGTTCATCAATTACACTTTCACTTTCCACTTTTAGGTACATATCCTTCCCACAGGGATCTTGCTGTAGTCTTGACTTGCTTCAGTTAGCAGTTCATCAATTACACTTTCACTTTCCACTTTTAGGTATGTACCTTCCCAAGATGAAACTATAAGCTCCAAGAGGACAAGACCCCAATTTGGAGGCTCACTTTCTGCCCATTCCCATTCCCAAGCATGTAACAGGCAAGCAATAAGTGTTGAATAACTGTATTTAAAATGTTTAGAAAGGTTCATCTAAATTCTAAAACAGCTTTATTGAAAATTCAGTAAGTTGCTAAAGAAAGGTAAAAACCAGTTACAATTCAACACTAGTCATATTTTAAGGGAAAATAAGGTTGCACGTGAAAAAGAAAAGACACATGATTTATAGCATTAAAAAACTTTATTTAAAAGGTCTCATTTAAGCCAAATTAAACCCCAAATTGACAGCTCCTGACCTAAACGGTATGGTTTGAGTTGTGTGTCTTGTTAAAGGAGGTTATTTGCTATTATCACCACTGCCCTAAAAGTAGTTCCAGAGCAGAAGCTGGTACTATAATACACATCAGATACTTTAGATGCCATCTTCCAACCAGAAGTTAAAAAAGCAAACAGGTTTTTCTATTCTGTACAAGTATAAAAACCATTACAGAATAGGGCCTGAACGCCTTTGATGCACAAGATTTAACTATAAAGGGTGCTATGTCCCTTCATTCAAGGAATCTGCTGATTTCCTCCAACAATACCAGTGGTGTTCCAACACTGTTCAGGATGATACTTTGGGATTTCCCCTCATCTGGTGCTAACCAAAGGAAGCGGCTGATCAAGCTAGGGGACAGCCTATCACAAAATGAGATCATAAAGCAATGAACAGTTCCCTAGTGGGCAAGTGATCGGAAGACCCACTTCACAAGTATTTCTAGTCATGGCATCATGTACGTAAAATGACGCAAGCTCTGAATTCTGGTGTGTCTGAGGATAAATTAAGAACAGCTTGTTACTTTATAGCTAGACCTTGAGTTTCATCAGAGGCAGTAAATCTAACAGTGTGTCTGAGTCCTTCTGGAAATCGCTTCAGCAGATGAATCCAACAGCCTGCAAAAGAGAAGAGGGCATGTGTCATCCTGCTGAGGTTCTCCATGTTCTCTTGGAGGACGGACCCGGGGCCCAAGGGCCCAAGTTCCTGGGAGGGAGGGAGGCTTCAGCTCCACCTAAGGAAGACCTTTGTAACAGCTGAAGCTGCTCAGCAACTGAGTGGGCTGCCTGGTGAGGTAGAGTCACTGCAAGTGTTCAAGGTGGAAGGGGCTCCTGCATTTGTTCAGAGGCTGGACTGGATGAACCTCAGGTCTCTCAATTCTGAGACTCTAGGAAATTCCCTCAGGGAATTCAGAAGAGAATTCCCAAAAGGAAAGAGAAAGTACACATATGTATACTTTTAGAATCCTCTTTTGAGTTTTTTCTTTTTTTTTTCCAAAAGGTACAAAAGAAAATGTAGTCTGCTGTCTTTAAAATGCATATACACCTTCCTACCACTAATAATTAGGAAGGGCCAATTATGACTTCTTTATATTATAAAGAAAAGATGAACAATTACATTTATAATTTCTGTAAATATTTTAGAAAAAATGCTTAAAATCTAGTAGTCAATGCCCTAGAAACTTTATAGATTTTTAAGTAATATGCACAGATACAAATACATTATGCATTAAATACAACTCACATCTGTGTTTTATTATACTCTAAAATATACAGGAATCTTGATGTACTGAAAGAGTGCAAGTAAATAACAGTATTCAAGCAGTCACTATTTCTATTTACATGCTCATTAATTCTTCAAAAACCCACAAAATTATCAAATAGATCAAAATACTGTTCTGTGTTTTCACACTTTATATTCAGAAAAACCAGCTGATAATTTACAATGTCATAAAGTTTCCAGTTTCACGATACAAAAAGAATAAAATGAAATTGGGAATCACTTTGTGAAAATTTATGGAACTCTACCCCAACTTGGAAGACCCCCCTATGTAAGTGAAATCATTTTCACTGGGAAGGTGACACAGTAAAAGCAGACCCATATAAATTGTCATTTAAAAGCCTAAACATCAGCCTTCCCCCCATCTTTTTGTTATTTGGAAGGCAGTCTTCCAATCTAGCATGTTATAAACACGCTACATTAAATGTGAATAAGACCTAAAGGCTTTAGTATTTTAAACCTTGCCCAGTATAGAAATGCCTTCCAAGAGACCTGATGATGTTAACTTATGAGTAGCAAGGGAGTTTTTCTTTTTGATTCTTCACTAAACAGTGACAACAAACATACCCTAGTCCACTGTGGAGGCACAGGCGAGACACAAAGGTGACCAAAGTGGACCACCCAAAGCAGTGAGGCTGAAACGCCACTCCCAGGACCACTGGCTGCAACAGGGTGAAAATCATCCACTTCCTGATTTACGAAATTTCCTTCTTTGAGGAAATTCTTTACCTTTTCAAACAAAAATAGCTCAGTTTTTAAACCTAAACCATTCAAAACCCGGCAACCAACAGCTTGACCCCAATCTATTACATGTCTACATCACAAATATTTTCACCCTGACTGCACCCAGTCAGCTGGTTTTTAATTCTATTATAAAAGTTGGAATTTTAAAATTTTTATGTAAAAGAAAAAAAAATGTAAAAATACATCTGCTTTCTCTCATGGTTTAATACATATTAGAAGGCTTTCAGATGTTTTCTTTTAAAAAAAAATCAACATTGAAAACCAAATCTCAGCTTCATTTTCAGAAATACTGAAGTTTGGTTCAGATAATGTCTAGCTTCACCCGCTCCAGTTTCCGCAAAGTGGTGCTCTGTTAAAACCCGAGTTATTTGGTCCTTTGGCAATTTGCTGTGCACATCATGCCTATTGTACCAAACTTTTATTGCCCTTAAATTTAGTTGTAGTTTTATTGATAAAATTGAAATCTAGTGTCCTTATCTCTTCTTTCACGATAGTGTTGCTTGTGTGAGCAGATCAGGGCGCAGTGTTCCAAATAATTCCGGGCACTGCAACCCAAAGTCCACAATAACAAGGCTACGTGCCATCAAGTGTTCTCCTCTGGTCAAGTCTGCTTCAAGACTCCAGAAGCTCCTTTTGTAAAACGCGCCTGTAAAATTGTTCTTCCTAATGTCATCATACTTCTTCTGTTTGCACTCTCTTAGGCTGCATTTGTATGTGAGTAAGAAAATGCCTTTTTCCTGAAAAAGCACAGTTTGAAGCATCAGTGTCAGAACGCCTCCCCAGGTCTCTGGCTCAGCCTGTCAGTAGGTCTCTGAATCAGAGTCATTGAGCTCATCCACATCGGTGTATAAGTATTCCTGCTCCCCGCCGATGTTGTTGAAGCTACAGTAGGAGCTGGGTTCATTTCTCATGATGGGCAAGGCTTCAAAGCTGACAGTTTTCGAGGTGTTGGTGTAGCGGTTAATGGCATTGAATGTCAGGGATGATAAAGGGCTACTTGACGAGATAGGCATCATGGTGGCCAGAATGAGAGCGAGGCAGTCCGCCACGTCCTTGTTGGGGGCACAGGCCAAAGCTGGGGTATAGCCTAGAATTAAAGACAAGGTTAAAATCACTCATCCTGAGACTCACTTCACTAAAGAAAGGCAGTAAACCTACCCTGGTCTTCAACCTTAGACATATTTTAAATTACTTGGCTTATATAATAAGCTGGCTTAATTAGAATGATTCAGAACTTTGTAATAAATAGTAAAAGAGGAAGGTCATAGAAACCTAGGGTGGGAGGAGACCTAACAGGCTACAGAGGAAACCGAGGTCCCAGATGGATGGTTCCTCCACTATCTCATAACTTATCTGCATCCATCCAAGTTCCCAGATGGTATCAGGCTAGAATAAGGGGGGGGAACAGTCTGGTAAAACTTCATTCAGAATGCTGGGGGAGTTTTACCATTAATTTGAAGTTCTGTAAGGAAGGGCTTACATGCTGAGAAGCCTAAATGTGCACTAATTTGTGAATGAGGCTCTGAGCTGGTGATCAAAATATGCATGTTCAGTGAAAACACATGGCCACCATTTAACTTCTTTTGGGGTCATAGTGCATTGAGAAAAACATAAACAGGTTTAAAGCTCCTAAATCAACCATGTTCCCTTTGCATATGTCCCCTTCTTTAGCAGAAGACTGACTTTAACTCTAAATGCTGGGCTGGGTGAATCACAAGCTGGAATCAAGATTGCGTGAGAAACATCAACAACCTCAGATATGCAGATGACACCAACCTAATGGCAGAAAGTGAAGAAGAACTAAAGAGTTTCTTGATGAGAGTGAAAGAGGAGAGTGAAAAGCTGGCTTAAAACTCAACATTCAAAATATTAAGATCATGGCATCCAGTCCCATCACTTCATGGCAAATAGATGGGGGAAAAGTGGGAACAGTGACAGACTATTTTCTTGGTCTCCAAAATCACTGAGAATGGTAATGGCAGCCATGAAAGTCAAAGACGCTTGTGGCTTGGAAGGAAAGCTATGACAAACCTAGACAGTGTACTGAAAAGCAGAGACATCATTTTGCTGACAAGGTCCATCGAGTCAAAGCTACGGTTTTTCCATTAGTCATGTACCATAAAGAGAGCTGAACCATAAAGAAGGTTGAGTGCTGAAGAATTGATGCTTTCAAACTGTGCTGCTGGAGAAGACTCTTGAGAGCCCCTTGGACAGCAAGGACATCAAACCAGTCAATCCTAAAGGAAGCCAACTCTGAATACTCACTGGACAGGCTGATGCTGAAGCTGAAGGCCCAGTACTTTGGCCACCTGATGTGAAGAGCTGCTTTGCTAGAAAAGACCCTGATGCTGAGAAAGACTGAAGGCAAAAGTAGAAGGGGGTGGCAGAGGATGGACATGAATTTGTGCAAACTCTGGGAGACAGTGGTGGATACAGGAGTCTACTGTGCTGCAGTCCATGAGGTCACAAAGTGTCCTAGCAACTGAACAATACCACCGCAACAAAGTATCCTTGCAACAAACTGGGAACACTCGGTTGGGTCAGGAAAGAAGACAGGGAAAACACAGAGTCTAATTAAATCGTCAACCTCTCTTGTTACTGGAACAATTTATAACTGGATCATTAATCTGAAGGTTAGAATTGATTACAAAATAAGATGGGTACTTACTATGACTTGCCAACTTTGGACCCTGATTATGATCTCATATTGCAAAGTATGTAAGAAGACATTAGGTCACAGGCGACCTTCATTGTCATGTTTATTATCCTTTTCATATGCAAAAGTGATATAAAACCTTGAAAATGACCAACAAAGATTGTCTACTGGCTATTTGATTTACAGCCTCACAATGTGACCAAATACCCTATACAGGTTAGCAATTTAGGCTCTTCATTTTAATCTATACTGCTTCTTATTTCCAGAAATATAATTTGCTGACAGTGAAAGTTTCTTATAAATTAGGTGAGACTGAACTTATCTTAGTGGGTGGTACCACTCACTTCTATGGATTTCATGACTATATTAAACTAACGATTCCCAAATTTCTACATCCAACCTGGATCCTGCTGACTTTGGGCTCCAGATCCATAGGTCGATATTCAATTAGCCACTTGGAGTTGCCAGTGAGCTTTTCTCATGTTCCTAAGTGAACCCAGCTCTTCCTCCTACATTCTCATCTTAAACAGTGGCCTCCCCTCCCCTGCCCATATCGCTCCATGCCAGACTGCAGGCCATGTCTTCCCTCCCCAGGCTCCGAGGAATCCCATCAAAAGGGGATTCCTCGGAGCCTGGGGAGGGAAGCAACATCAATGTCCTTTCATCTCCAACATCTCTGCCGTATTTCTGCCCACTCCCTCCTCCCACCCTGGCTGTGAACGTGTTACCTAGTCTAGACTTGCTCCCTTTCAGACTAGCTTCGGTCTCCCTGACACAAAGATCCTTTGCCACTTGACCTAAGAGACTCAGGTGTGGTGTAACTCAGTTCTCACACTGTCCTGCGTTGTATCTCTATTAAATATGCCACTCTCTCAGCTTAGAGAGTTTTCTCCCATATTTTTACTTGTCCTTTGGATTCTGGCTCAGAAGGTACTTCAGGGGGATACCTTCCCTGATCTCTCTCACAGCATTCCAGGTTTATTCTAACTGAGCTGCTTCACGGGCCTTGGACAGCCTGTTTGTTCTCACTGCCACTCAAGGCAGTGGGCTGACCTGGACCCTACAGTGCGTCTGCAGTACTCGGCACACTGCTCGCCGCATCATCATCTACACACACCCACTGAGCCTGATGTGGCCAGGGGCTCTCCTAACCACTCAGCCAGATCTGTGGGCAGAGACTCCTGCCCTCGTATGTGAGAAGATATGCTCCGTGGAAAGAAGGAAAAGGAAGGAATACAACAGGGTAATAAGAACTGAGAATGTGATGGGGGCAATCAGCAGGCTGTGTTTAAGGGTAGTCGGGATGGGATTCATTGAATAGATGACATTTGAGCTAAGACTGGAAACAGGTGAAGGGTTTAGTCAAAGACTATTGGGGACACAGTGTTTGAAGCTGGAAGAAAGATCATGATGCACGTACACCATCATGTACACAGTGTGAGGAGCTGGAGTGGCAGAACAGGACAAGGCGGGACAATGAAGAGACAAGCGGGAGTGGTAACAGAAAGAGCTGACACTCGGCCCCGAGAGATCGTCTAAGGACCATCGGTAAACTGAGATTCGGTCGGCCCCGAGAGATCGCCTAAGGACCATCGGTAAACTGAGATTCGGTCGGACCCGAGAGATCGCCTAAGGACCATCGGTAAACTGAGATTCAGTCGGCCCCGAGAGACCGCCTAAGGACCATCGGTAAACTGAGATTTGGTCGGCCCCGAGAGATCGCCTAAGGACCATCAGTAAACTGAGATTCGGTCGGCCCCGAGAGACAGCCTAAGGACCATCGGTAAACTGAGATTCGGTCGGCCCCGAGAGATCGCCTAAGGACCATCGGTAAACTGAGATTCAGTCGGCCCCGAGAGATCGCCTAAGGACCATCAGTAAACTGAGATTCGGTCGGCCCCGAGAGACAGCCTAAGGACCATCGGTAAACTGAGATTTGGTCGGCCCTGAGAGATCGCCTAAGGACCATCGGTAAACTGAGATTCAGTCGGCCCCGAGAGATCGCCTAAGGACCATCGGTAAACTGAGATTCAGTCGGCCCCGAGAGATCGCCTAAGGACCATCAGTAAACTGAGATTCGGTCGGCCCCGAGAGACAGCCTAAGGACCATCGGTAAACTGAGATTCAGTCGGCCCCGAGAGATCGCCTAAGGACCATCGGTAAACTGAGATTCAGTCGGCCCCGAGAGATCGCCTAAGGACCATCGGTAAACTGAGATTTGGTCGGCCCTGAGAGATCGCCTAAGGACCATCGGTAAACTGAGATGCGGATGAGCAGCAGCTCCCCACACGTTTCTCTAGCCTCAGTGCTGGCTTCTCACTGTGGAGGTTGCCCTCACTGTGGAGCATGGGGCCAACAGCACTCAGGCTTCAGCAGCTGCAGCACACGGGCTCAGCAGTTGTGGCTCCCAGGCTCCAGAGCATAGGCTCAGCAGTTGTGGGCACATGGGCTTAGTTTCTCCATGGCGTGTGGGATGGTCTCGGACCAGAGATGGAACCCGTGTCTCCTGCACTGGCAGGCAGGTTCTTTACCACTGAGGCACCAGGGAAGCCCCTCCCATGCATTTTAAAAGGATCCTGGCCAAGGGTGGTGGTAGAGGGGGAAAAGTGGGCATATCTGAATATACTCTGAAGGCAGATCAACAGTGCATGCTGGTGGACTGTGCCCTGGGTATGAGGCGTGTCAAGGAGCAATCGCAAGGATGGGGACGGTCATCAGCTGAGCCAAGGATGGCTGTGCAGAGAGCAGGCTTGGCAGGGGGAGAGAGGGTCAGCAGTCCAGTTCTGGACCGTGCATCAGACATTCACAGGGTACGCCATCAGTCAGGCAGCTGGAGACGTAAACTCACACATTCTCAGCACAGATGCAGTGTTTGGAACCCCAGAACTGGATGAGGTCACCCAGAGAGTGAATGTAGGCAGTGTTGCTGTTCAGTCACTGAGCTGTGGCCGACTCTCTGTGACCCCATGGACAGCAGCACGCCAGGCTCCCCACTCCTTCACTCTCTCCCTGAGCGTACTCAAACTCGTGTCCATTCAGTCAGTGATGCCATCCAACCATCTCATCCTCTGTTGTCCCCTTCTCCTCCCGCCCTCAATCTTTCCCAGCATCAGGGTCTTTTCCAATGAGTAGGCTCTTTGCATCAGGTGGCCAAAGTAGTGGAGCTTCAGCATCAGTCCTTCCAATGAATATTCAGGGTTGATTTCCCTTAGGATTGACTGGTTTGATCTCCATGCTGTCCAAGGGACTCTCAAGAATCTTTTTCAGCACCACAGTTTGAAAGTACCAGTTCTTGGGTGTTCAACCTTCTTCATGGTCTGACTCTCACATCTGTACATGATTACTGGAAAAAACCCATAGCTTTAACTATATAGACCTTTGTTGGCAAAGTGATGTCTCTGCTTTCTAATACATTCTCCAGGTATGTCATAGCTTTCTCCTTCCAAGGAGCAAGTGTCTTTTAATTTCATAGCTGCAGTCACCATCTGCAGTGATTTTGGAGCCCAAGCAAATAAAGTCTGTCACTGTTCCCACTTTTCCCCTGTCTATTTGCCATGAAGTGACGGGACTGGATGCCATGATCTTAAGTTTTTTGAACGCTGAGTTTTAAGCCCGCTTTTTCACTCTCCTCTTTTGCCCCCATCAAGAGGCTCTTTAGATCCTCTTCGCTTTCTGCCAATGGAGTGCTACCATCTGTGTATCTGAAGTTGTTGATATTTCTCCTGGCAATCTTGATTCCAGCTTGTGAGTCATCCAGCCCAGCATTTTGCGTGACATACTCAGCACAGAAATTAAATAAGCAGGGTGACAATACACAGCCGTGACATACTCCTTTCACAGTTTTGAACCAGTCTGTTGTTTCATGTCTGGTTCTAACTGTTGCTTCTTGACCTGCATACAGATTTCTCAGGAAACAGGTAAGGTGGTCTAATACTCCCATCTCTTTAAGAATTTTCCAGTCTGTTGTGAACCACACAGTCAAAGGCTTTAGTGTCATCAATGAAGCAGAAGTAGATGTGTAGAGAAAGCAAAAAGAATGAAGTACTGAACTTGAGAGCCCTCCAATAGTAACAAGTTGAGGAGAAGAGAGAGAAACTTAGTGAAAGAAACTAAAGATAGTACTGTAGGAGGAAAACTAAGAAAATGTGGAGTCCAGAAAGCCATGTAAAGAAAGTTCATGCAAAAACAAAATGGGTATACCTGAAACTAACAGAATGTTGTATGTCACTTATACTTCAATAAAAAATCAGTAAAATAAAAAATATTCAGTTCTAGTAAATATAGTTATTTAACAACAAAATAAGAAGTTACAAACCCTTATCCAGTTACTAATTCAAGGAACCAGATACTTGTGAATGAAGAACATCCCTAAGAAGGACACTATAATCAAAATCATATGCATTCTCTCTGACCCTCCCCCTAATCCTGCCATAAGTGATATGCATCTACTGGTCCACGGAACAGCGTGCTGCAAATGCAAAGTATGGAGACTACTTGGGGGAATATCAGACACTAGCTATGGCAGACTGCAACCTTCATATCTGGTATTTCATATACATTTTAAATTCCACATTAAGAGCCTATTCCTAAGGAAGGAAGGAATAATCAGTTGGGTTGAATTCTGTATGTCAAGTCAAAGCAGAGTTGCTTCCTAACACTGTGGAGGTCACTGGTGGTCTTGCTGAGCACAGTGCTGTAGTGTGGTGGGGTGAAGGTCTGACCAGAGGGGACTGAAGGGAGAAGAAATAGGAGAACTGGAGACAGGCAGAAACTGCTGCAAAGGGGGACAGAGACATGCGGCCACAGCAGGAGTAATGAGAGGTGTGTTATGATGCGAGAAGTGATGTTTTTCTGCAGAGAGATCCTACAAAAGCCATTATTATAGGACACAAAGCAAAGAGACGCTACAGAGACCACCTCAGGCAGGCAAAGAGGATAGGCCCCAGCGAAGGATGGGAAGACTAGATTCTGATAAAACCTGGCATTCAAGTAAGGGTCTTGATAAATGTTTGCTGAAAGAACAAATTCTTTGAAGACTAAGATAACAAAGGTGATATCACTAAACCAAAATTAATAAACCCTAACTCTGATTTGGGCTTCCCAGCTGGTGCAGCTGGTAAAGAGAATTTGCCTGCCAATGCAGGAGACCCAGGTTCGATCCCTGGGTTGGAAAGATCCCCTGGAGGAGGAAATGGCAACCGCTGGAAAATCCCATGGACAGAGGAGCCTGGCGGGTTACAGTCCATGGGGTTGCAAAGAGTCGGACTCGACTGAGTGCCTGAGCAGGCAAACACAACTCTGATGTAAGAGATGCGTGAAACTCGAGAGCTCACCTGTTAGTTGGACTTTCCCTGTTTCTCCTGCCCTTGTTCCTTTTGCCACAAAGTGTAAGCCCTCATCAGAATTAACTCCAGCTCTCCTCTCTGACCAGTGAAAAGCCCCCAAGTCTCCTTGCCTTCAAGTATGGATCACTGAAAGGCCAACGCCTCTAGCAGTTAGGGAAAGAGGAAGCAGACGCTACTCACCATTCTCATCGACCGCAAGCACGCTTGCCCCTCTCCCCAAGAGCTCTTGAACCACCAGTGACAGCCCGTTTCGGGCAGCAACATGCAGAGGTCTGGAGAGAAAACAATATGTGTACACGTCCATGTGTGCAGGCCCACGCATGCGTGTGCTCTCTACCCTGGTTGTTGAAGACCATTTACGCTAGGCCATGGAGACCCACAGACGAAGACCAGAGGCTGCTGGTCCCGACGGCAGTGAGGAGGGAGCGAGGCCCCGGAGAGCCAGGACTCGGAGCGCCTGTCAGCGCTGCACCCAGCACCCGCCAGCAGCAGCTCCCACCTCCACCAGACCCTCGTGCCAGATTCCTTCAAGACCAGCATTTAAAAAGATTTACTAACTAAACTGCATTCTTAAGTTGTGTTAAGAAATGTGGTTGGCAAACACATGTATTAAACAATAAAACTGTAAACTGCAACAGCACAAGTTCCAAAAGGTTTTTAAAACAGTTTACAGGTTCCATGACTCATTCTGGACCCTTAAGGGATGTGACTGAGACCTAAATGGGAACCATTATTGTAAGATTCTTCTCTTTACTAAGTCTCAAAGCACAACAGCAAATGAAAATGGTGAGGAATAATGGGAGATGCTGGGCCATGATTTAGGCAGTCACCCAGGACTGGCGGCTCACATTAAAGACCTGATTATTTCTGAAATCTCTCTAGCTACAGACATGTATAAAACTTTTTGCCTCATTTGTTAAGTGTATTATTTCAGTTGGTTGCCAGAAAACACACAGAATAGTATTACTTTCCACCATAAAATTGGATTGACAAACAACCTATTGTTTTCAAGAATAAGAGTTTCAATTCAAAAACTTTTAAAATAATGTCCTTTAATTATGATGATTTTAGAAATGAGTTTTCTCAATTTTAAGAACTGTTTTTTATTTTTTAATTGCTTCTGTGACAGACTGATTCCAACCACATTAGAAAAGAATTCCATTAACCATTTTTATAATTAAAGGTCACAAGGTTTACACTAGACACTGGAAGTACTCACGTTTGCAAAGCTGCATTGGTTGCATTGATGAGGTTTCTATCTGTTATCTTTTCCAGTATTAACGAGGCACTAGTTTCATGACCCTAAAATTATGACAAATAACTCTTAAAAACTTCGGCACCGTCAAAGATAACTTTATACACTCAATACACCCCAATCTTCATCCATGTTATATATCACCATTCATATACTATGCATTTTCTTGGCTAATGTCTTAAATATACGTCCAAACATGAATTGGTGTAATGGGGTTACAGGAGAGGACAAGAATATTTAAGATTAGAGAGATTAGAAAAAGACAATAAGTACATTTAAGCCTGTGGTCCAAAACTTACTTAGCTTACTGGAAATTTCATACACCATGATGTTTCACACATAAGTAATCTTTTTTTCCAAGAAATCTGATGCCAGTGATTATTAGGCAGGTTTGGTCCCTAGCTCTGTTCATTTTAGTTAACTGGAAAAACCTTAAATGCCATGTTGATACTAACAATCAAAAAATATTGTTAAGATGTGTACCTACCTTACTGCAAGCCAAATGGAGGGCGGTGTTTTTACTGTTATCTTGTAAAGTCAGATCTGCACTAGCACTGCGAACCAGCATCTCTGGGAGGAAAAATTGTATCAACTCTTTTGTATATGAACATACACCTCAGATTACTAATAACTCACTGCAGAGAAATGAAGACAGAAAGGAAAAATATCCCTCTGGCAAAAAACATAAGTGCAAAAACACATTGCAATATAAAGGTCTATATTATATTCGTGTGTGTGTGTGCGTGTTGTATAAGGAACAGACAAGAACAACAGCAACTGACATTCATTCTGTGAGTGCTTACTAAATTTCAGACTGTTTTAAGTACTCTAGATTTATAGTAACTTATTTACCTCTCAAAACAACCCTATGAAGTAGGTTCTGTTATTTTTGTCACTGTACAGATGGAAAGACTGAGGCATGAGGCCACTCAGTTGGCAGATCTAGGACTCACATTCAGTCTGACTCCAGAGTCAGGTTTCTTGACCATCCTAACACTGCCTGCTAACATGAGGCCAACTGAAAATACTGTGGACCTAAAAGAAAACACGAGTGTAGGCAGGTAAAAGGTTTTAAATCTGAGGAATGGTGAGATAACTAATGGAAAATTCAATGAGCCAGAGTCAGATGGGAGCTATATTACACACAGACAACATTCACGCTTAGAACAATGAAAGCCTCCAGCGTTTCTTTACCGACTGTGTTTGCCTGTCCGTTTTCTGCAGCCATCATGAGGGGTGTCTTCCCAGAGGAGTCCACAGAGTTTACATGAGCATTGTGGCTGAGCAGAAGCTGCAGACACTCCACGTGGTCCGTGAAGGCGGCTGCGTGGAGAGGAGTCCTGCCCACAGAGGAATGCAAGGACGGGGCTAAGTCTGTGCGTGTGTATTCTTCATTTATCACCAGCAACTTTCAAGGATTTACATACCAGGCTATAAAACTATTGCCTGGATACAAATAGGCTTACTAATTCCTGCCACAAAAATTTGTATTTTTGATAACTATTATTTAGGTAAACTAATATAAATAAGGGTAAATTATGAAGCTGCCCAAAAAAATGACATTAAAGGAAACTTTGAAAAGAAACAAATCTGGCCCCAAATACTGTCATCTATTACAACTGTTAAGACTCTTTGTAATTAGAAATCTGTCAACTTTATTAAAGAGTCTTTAGGGGGACTCCCTGGTGGTCCAGTGGTTAAGCATCCACCTTGCAATGCAGGCAACACGGGTTCGATTCCTGGTTCACGAACTAAGATCCCACCTGCCGCAGGGCCTGTGTGCTGAGACCTGACACAACCAAACACATAAAAGAAAGAACCTGCCTTGCAATGCAGGGGATGAGAGTTCGACCCCTGGCGGAGGAACTAAGACCCCACTGAGCCTGCGTGCCTTAATTTCTGAGCCCACACCCTGCAGCTGCTGCGTACAACTAGAGTCCTTGAGCCACAGCGAAAAATCCTGTGCGCCACAATTAAGACTCAATACAGCCAAACAAAGAAAGAAACAGCACAGACGGTCTTCGGGTAACAAGCACGTGCTAAGTTGCTTCAGTGGTGGCCGACTTTGCAACTCTATGGACTGTGGCCCACCAGGCTCCTCTATCCATGGGAGTCTCCAGGCAAGAATCCTGGAGTGGGTTGCCATTTCCTACTCCAGGGGATCTTCCTGACCCTGAGATTGAACCTGAGTCTTTTCCATCTCCTGCATTGGCAGGCGGGTTCTTTATCACGTGTGCCACCTGGGAAGTCCAGCAAGAATGTATGTTTTTAACAAAGGGAAATCTTTTTCCCAGTTTCCCTGGTCAAGGTAGAAAAGACTTTTATAATGAGAATATAATTAAGATTTTGTAACAACTTGTAGATATAAAACCATCCTTTAAGTAATAAAGGAGTTTCTTTAAATTCTCCCATATTAATATAATAACTAATGAAATTTTCCACATGGTTAATTCCTACCTTCCTTTTGAATCTGTGGCGTTCACAATGCTGGAGCCTAAGGTATCAATCAACATCTCAGCAGCACCCTCGTTGTCATTTATTCTGTGAAGGTAACAAGGTGATCACTCTCAAAGCAATGCTTTATTTCTTAAATACTCAAATCAAATCTGATTCATTGTGCCTTTACTTACACAGCACAATGCAACGGACTGAAAGCATTTCCTTCTGTTTTCTGGAAAACTTCTTGTTCTAAAAGGAGTTCTACACACGTCTCATGACCTAGATAAGTAAATGGGAATCAGATATTAAGATCCAAAGAAGATACTGAGGTGTCCATACATATCCACATATCCCAACAGATTAAAAAAAGGCTTGAACACGGATTACAAGTAGTCAGTTCACTGAACCCATTAAACATCAGTTTTAGGCACTCTGAAATCCATAGTACAACTTCAGCAGTTTATTATTGACATGACAAGTATTTATTTTGTGGGGGACAAAAATTAGTCTCACTTTTTCCATGGTGACCAATTAGAGTTATTTGGGCATTATTTCTTGAAATGATCTATTTACATATAATAGTGTAACTTTCAAAATAATATATATTTACATAACATTGTTGTTTTAGTAGCTAAGTCATGTCTGACTCTGTGAGCCCATGGATTATAGCCCACCAGGCTTCTCTGTCATGGGATTTTCCAAGAAACAACAATACTGGCGTGGGTTGCCCTTTCCTTCTCCAGGGGATCTTACCGATCCAGGGATTGAACCTGTGCTCCTGCATTGGCAGGCAGGTTCTTTGCTAGTAAGCAACCAGGGAGCTCCTACTTATGCAGACTGAAATATTTTCTGGTTATAGGAATGAGCTAACGGTCTTGTTTCACAGAAGCGTTCAGAGGGAAAAAGTACATGTCCCTGTCCCCACTCCCAGTACTGCTCTCTAGACCTACTGCCTTACAGTTCCAGAACATTTTGAGGCATATACAACTGCAGGTACAGAAACACACACTTTTTCATTTTTATGCAACTGGGACATTCTGCAACTTGTTTTTTATTTAAAAAACTATATGTCTTTTCATAATAGCATATGTAGACATCCTATTGCTGACTGGGAGAATGTCACAGTATCAAAAAGTATCATAAATGATTTAATCTCTAATTATGGACTTCAAGGTGACTGCTAGTTTTTCTTTGTGATATTATCATCAATGTTGTAAATGAAATATTTCAGATCTTAAGAGAAAAGTATTTATTTCTTTTATATTTCCAAGAACAATTTTCTGGAAATGATATTGCTGGGTTAAAGGACAATTACTGAATACTAGTAAGTATCAGGGCCACAACTTTTCTTTTGTTAAACAGTTTTGTCTGTTTATTCTTGGCTGTGCCGGGTCCTCACTGCTGGGCAGGCTTTTCTCTAGCGGCAGAGACCAGGGGCTACGCTCCAGTTGCGGTGTTGCGGCTTCTCACCGCGGTGGCTTCTCCTGTTGCAAGGCACGGGCTTTAGGCGGCTGCAGGCTCTAGAGCACAAGGTCGGCAGTATTTTCCATCAGCGACTGAACCCGTGTCTCCTGCACAGGCAGGCGGATTCTTCACCACCGAGCCACCAGGGAAGCCCAGGCCCACAGTTTTTAGTAGTAACTTTAAAAACAAGGGAAAACCCAAACCTCAGATTTTCTTAAACCCAATTTTCAAAGCCAGGGTTTCAGTAAAAGTAACCCCATTGCTGTATTAATGACGGAAAATTAAACGTTGCTTCTACCTTGTTAAGTCATTTGAGATCCACATTAGGAATAAAGTAGATTCTTAAAGAGCCTCTTAATTTATTTCCATGGCTTAATATTTGGTTAACAAGGTGATGCTATATTTCTTTTCTAATTACCCTAGCATTCTCAAACAACAGTTCAACTTAATTGTTATACTATAATCGTTTCTACCAGGAAAAGAAAGTATGTTTTAGGAAGTGTGTGCTTATGCTCCATCACCTGTGAGTTCTTTCATTTAGTGGTTCTCAACTGGAGCAATTTTAGCCGTCAGAGAACATTTGGCCACATCTAGAGACATTTCTGTTTATGACATTGGAGACGGGGTAGGGGGAGACCCGTCCCGGGAAGGGAGTCTTAATAGAGGAAGTTTCCAATCACCAGGAAACCCTCGCACTGGCGGGACTGGGGGAAGTTTTCGGCAATCTAACTGGGAGGAAAAATTAAACAAGGCCCACAGATTACGTGCCTAAAAGCAACTCCCAGCAGAAAAGTACCCCAGACGCCCGCACCCGCCAGCAAGTGGGGACGGAACGGAGAGGAGCGGGCGGCATTGCTTAGGGTAAGGACCGCCCCGAAGACCCTGAGAGCAATCGGAGGGAGCTTTTTTAAACTGTGGGATAGCAAGGGTCAAAATTAACCGGCCCGAACACACTGCCGGCGGTTCGCAAAACAAAGGGACTGAGAAAGTCCAGAGAAGAGCCGGGCCATCCCCGCTGGAGGTAGGAGGCAGGGGGGAGGGGAAAAGGGCAAACTCAGCCCCTGAGAAGCTGCCCCCTCCCACACTGCAAACAGGCCCCCGGTTCCTATCTAAAGACTTCCTGAGACCCGACTGGCGGCGTGCGCTGGGGCCGCGGAGGGAAAAGGCGCGCCGCACCCGGGGAGATTGCGCCCAAGCCTCTGGCTGCCTGAGCCGCTCGCCGCGGAGGGAAAAGGCGCGCCACATCCGGAGAGAGTGCGCCCAAGCCTCTGGCTGCCTGGGCCGCTCGCCGCGGAGGGAAAAGGCGCGCCACATCCGGGGAGATTGCGCCCAAGCCTCTGGCTGCCTGGGCCGCTCGACGCGGAGGGAAAAGGCGCGCCGCATCCGGGGAGAGTGCGCCCAGGCCTCTGGCTGCCTGGGCCGCTCAGGCCGGGGAAGGCACAAAACGCAGGCGCAACCGAATCTGCGCTTTTGTGGAGCACCCGAAAACTGGAACCGCACTCAACGCAGGGCCCGCTCCATATAGAGCAGCCGGGAGCCTGAGCAGTGTAGACGGCGAAAGCACTGACACCCGTGAGCGGGGCAAACCCAGTGAGTTTGCCGGTGAGTGCTATCCACACAGAGCGGTATCTGTCTGCAGCGCCCCGCTGAACTGAACTAGAGAACCTAAATAAGAGATCACCTCCACCCGCCTGTGTCAGGGCGGAAATTAGACACCAAAGAGACGGCAAACAGAAGCCAAATAAACAAAGGGAACCGCTTCAGAAAGGACCGGTGCAACAGATTAAAATCCCTGAAGGTAATACCGACTACACCAGAAGGGGCCTACAGATACCGAGAAGTGTAAGCTGGAAAGAGGAGCTATCTGAAATTGAACCGAACCTACGCTGACCGCAACCACTCCAGAGAAATTCCTAGATATATATATATATATTTTTTTTAATTAAAAAAATTTTTTTTCTTTCCTTTTTTATTTTTTCTCTTTTATTTTCTTTTAAAATTCCCTATTACTCCCCCATTACTCCTCAACTTTCATTTTCATATATTTTTACGATTTTTTTAATTAGGGAAAAAATTATTTTTTCTTTTTCTTGTTTTTCTCTATTTCCTTTTAAAGTCCTCTAATACTCCTCTATTATTCCTTAATTTTCATTTTCATTTCACTATAACCTTGCCAAAAAAAAAAGAGAGAGAAACCCTATTTTTAAATTGAACTTCATATACATTTCTAAATTTGTGTTTTTGTTTTTGTTTTTAAATATTGTATTTCAAAGAGTCTAACCTCTATACTAGATTTTTAATCTTTATTTTTCAGTAGTATGTGATATAAATTTTGGTCATTTAAGAATCCAATATTCAGTTCCCATTTCTATTCAGGAGTGTGGTGATTACTCTCCCACTTTTGACTCTCTGTTTTCTACCTCAGAACACCTCTATTTCCTCCTTTCCCCGTCTCTTCCCAATCCAATTCTGTGAATCTTTGTGGATGTCTGGGCTACGGAGAACACTTTGGGAACAGATAACTGCGTAGATCTGTCTCTCTCCTCTTGAGTCCCCTTTTCTCCTCCTGCTCACCTCTATCTCCTTCCTCCCTCTCCTATTCTTCATGTAACTCTGTGAACCTCTCTGGGTGTCCCTCACGGTGGAGAATCTTTTCACCATTAACCTAGAAGTTTTATTATCAGTGCTGTATAGTTGGAGAAGCCTTGAGACTACTGGAAGAATAAAACTGAAATCCAGAGGCAGGAGACTTAAGCCCAAATTCTGAGAAAACTCCTGACTACACGGAACATTAAGGAATAAGAGAACATCCAAAAGCCTCCATACCTACACCAAAACCAACCACCACCCAAGAGCCAATAAGCTCCAGTACAAGACATACCACGCAAATTCTTTAGCAACGCAGGAACATAGACCTGAGTGTCAACATACAGGCTGTCCAAAGTCACACCTAACACATAGACCCATCTCAAAACTCATTACTGGACACTCCATTGCACTCCAGAGAGAAGAAATCCAATTCCACGCACTAGAACGCTGACACAAGCTTCCCTAACCAGGAAACCTTGACAAACCAATCGTCCAACCCCACCCACTGGGTGAAACCTCCACAATAAAAAGGAACCTCAGACCACAAGAATACAGAAAGCCCACTCCAGACACAGCAATCTAAACAAGATGAAAAGGCAGAGAAATACCCAACAGGTAAAGGAACATGAAAAAAACCAACCAAGTCAAACAAAAGAGGAGAAAATAGGGAATCTACCTGAAAAAGAATTTAGAATAATGGTAATAAAAATGATCCAAAATCTTGAAAACAAAATGGAGTTACAAATAAATAGCCTGGAGACAAAGATTGAGAAGATGCAAGAAATGTTTAACAAGGACCTAGAAGAAATAAAAAAAAGTCAATTAAAAATTAATAATGAAATAAATGAGATCAAAAACACTCTGGAGGGAACCATGAGTAGAATAACAGAGACAGAAGATAGGATAAGTGAGTTAGAAGATAAAATGGTGGAAATAAATGAAGCAGAGAGGAAAAAAGAAAAAAGAATCAAAAGAAATGAGGACAACCTCAGGGACCTCTGGGACAATGTGAAACGCCCCAACATTAGAATCATAGGAGTCCCAGAAGAAGAAGACAAAAAGAAAGGCCATGAGAAGATACTCGAGGAGATAATAGCTGAAAACTTCCCTAAAATGGGGAAGGAAATAGCCACCCAAGTCCAAGAAACCCAGAGAGTCCCAAACAGGATAAACCCAAGGCGAAACACCCCAAGACACATATTAATCAAATTAACAAAGAACAAATA